AAAAGATTGTCGAGGAAGAATGTTCAATTCGACAGGCCTAGTTCTCACTTCCTTAGTTCTCTTTCTTTGTACAGACTTGCCAAATTGTGACATCTAGCATAGCATTGGTAAAAGCAATTATCTTATCAGTGCTGGGATTAATGAACGTTTCAGCACTGCCTGTGAGCCTTGAGGCACCCTTTTTTATGGCTTAAATATGGTGCTAGCTTGTATCTGCACAAACAGTGAATTTGTCACGCACCCAGAAGTAACCACCTATTTAAAGTGTGCACACTTGGATATGGTTGATTCATGCCAATACAAGAGACTCAGTGTTGTAAGAGTTCGGATTAACTTATTTAGCTGTATTTGGACATTTACTTTTAGCCGATTCTGTGCAAGATCCCTCTTCTTTTCACTATTAGCTTCTGGGAGAACGATCACTCTGGGTATGAATGAAGTTACAGTAGGGACAATTTTTTAATTGGCTATTAACACGCCAACATTGTAATGTGGGTTTGATTCCAAACCAAAATGAATGTATTAGAGGGAATGTGAGTAAATTATTTTGTCAATACCCAGACAACTAGTGCTGCATAAAATGGTTTGCTTTCATTTTTTATTACAGTGACTTAAAATAACCTAAGTATTTTAATACATCCAGTCAAGAACTAGAGATTTTATGTAAAAAAAATAAAAAATAAAAATAAAACACAGCATGTATTATTATGCACTTGATTTCTCTGCTGTGTGGAGAAAGCAATAAGCATTGAGAATGTTAAACATTATGCAAAATATACTTTAAAATATTTGTTTTAAAAATACTGTACCTAGTTTGTCTTTTATGTATTACTTTGTTAACCTTTTTTCTATGCAAAAGTCTTTACATATCACTAATTAAATGAAGTCCTTTTTGACTGCATTTTATGGATGATTTTGATTTGTTTCAGGTTTTGTTTGCTCTTAAGGAATGCTAGTGGACTCAAAGTTACTTTCAGCCACGGGTAACAAGCGTGTTGGCTGCTCTGTCCTCTTCTGCTCCCCTTGCTCAGCCAGGAAGCCTGTCCCATACAGCATGCTCTGAAACAGGCAGAAAAAAGCAGTCAGTAAAGCAGCATCAGTTTTCAGGCTTGTAAACTGGTTCTGCATTGACAGTGTGCTTAATGATACAAACCCATTTGCCCAACCTGGAGAGCCCCAAAAATCATTTGGGTTTCTAGGTTCAGCTTTCGTTCAGATCCTTTCTAGGGCTCTGCATTTAGAAGGGGAAAATTGTAACCCGCTGACATCATTAAGTACCTGGATTGCAAGAGGGTAGTTTGCCTCTCCAGTTCTGGCCTTCTGATTTACCAGTTCTCCCTGAGGCAAAGGTTTGTTATTATTTCATCTTAGATATGCAAAGGCCATCTGTAGCAGGCATGCAAATCTCCATCTGTAAGGATAAGCACAGTCTTACATGTCCAAAAGACACTAAAAGTTTATTATGCCCAAGTAACAGTTCACAAGACCGAGGCATAGCAATGGGGTGACCACCCTACAGCCAGAGGCTTCATCTGTTGCCAAAATGCAGCCTCAGCTCAGCAGCTCACTCACCATCATGCCTTTCTCCCAAATGTTAAACATGTAACCCATCCCTGCCTGCATCAGCAGGTTTCCAGGACCCGGGGCGAGGAGGGATTGTCATTTGCCTGAACAGCTTGCTGTCCCATGGAGAACATGGACAAAAGATAGGGAGGAAGGCTCTCTACCCCTGCGCTGTAAATCATGCTCGATCTTGGAAGTTTTGCTGTTTGTGGGGAAAGTAAGACATTTTTGGATTCAGGACACAAATGCTGCACTGCTGTACAGGTATGTTTAGCAGCGTCTGGTTCAGGTACCGTTCACTTTCCATATAAGTAGTTTCAAGAATAAAGATCACATTAGTGAACTGGCAAGTAGATAAAAAGTGGCCCTTATTTACATGAAAAAGAGCAAGCTGAAACCCTACTTAACTAAGCTGTTAACTATTAACCTGCCCTCTAAGAGCCTGGTAGGAGGTCTCCCATGCATCATATCATGTTAAAAATGGGCAGCCACTGACTTGGTTCCACTTAAGGGCTTCAATCTAAACGACGTGTCCGAAAACTTTACCATTTGTTGCCCAAAATGCACAATTTGCCTGATTCTAAAAAAAGGGAGTTTGAAAAAATATTTCTAAGAGATTGGTTAGATGAAAGCGTAGTTATTTTAGCAACCTGAAACAATACATCACGGATGGATTTGTGCACCCTGTGTGTTGGGCTTATCCCATTTTCACTCTCTCAAAACAGGCCAAATTCATGGATGCGGAGTTGCTGATGTCTTCTCTCTTTTCTTGTTTTGTTTTGCTGTCTTCTGTTTGGTTTTTTTGTGTTTTTTTTTTTAATCTGAATCAGCTGGAGGGACCAGCACATGAGGCAGGAGCTCAGCCTTCATGCCTGTTTAGTCCTGAGCCTCTGTTGGGAATGTTACCTCTGTGAGAGCAGATGAAGATTTCCCAAGTGAAAAATTAATGGAGAAGAAACGTATTTCACATATGCTGTTGGAAAGACATCGGAGAGTAATAGCTTCTGATGACTTTGGTTGTAGCTGTGTTAACAGGTCAGAGCTGAAGTCTATGCAATTTTTAAAACAGAGCGAGGGAAAGCTGTTTCCTTGACATAACCAAGATCCAAAACGTAGGACTCGTGGCTGTGCACGTGCAACCTTACTTCAGCCCTTTTCTATCTTTATTCTGCATTCAACGATGAATGGACCTGGAAGAAGAAGAGAGTTTGTAATTTATGTGTTCTAGGACTAGACCACAGTACGTAGCACAAGAAGGCAAATCAGGCTGCTTGCTCAACAGTAAGTAGTTGGCTTTGACTAACTTTGCAATGGATGGGTTTGCAACCTTAAATTCCAGTTATCAAGAGGATCAAAGGAGGTTATGCAATTTCCTATAATGTTTTTCTTAAGAGGAAAAAACTAAAAACCAATTCTGTCACTCAGCATTAGCAGGCTCTAAACCTTAGTCCTCAGCAGTGCAAATAAAAAGCACTTAGGCAGCTGTAGCTGTGGGACTGTGTCACACAAGAGAAGATTATTACCCTAGAGAGCAGACAGGTAAATGAGAGATGGTGCTGTCTGCCCTCCGTTTCCTCTGATTGCAAGCGGAGGAAATCCGGCATTAGGTATTGCCCCAGAAGAAAAACCAGCTACTGTGGGCGAGGGCAGAATGCATATATTCAAAGTAGAATAATTGTATCCTGGCTGAACAACTGCCAGGAGTTGCCAGTTCATGCTGCTGCCTCCTTAGTGTGAGCCTTCAAAATGTTTGTTTGAAGCTGTTCCGAAAGATGATACTTCAATCGGGATGTCATGAGGTAAGTAAAGGGCATTTACTGAAGCCTGGGACATGGATATTGGCAAACTCTTAGGGCTATTGTGAATGAGAAATTTCTTCTTCGTAACAGAAAAAGGTCACAAGCGTCTTTTCATCAGAAGATACTACATTAGAAAATACTACTGAAGTGTGAAGTGGACTGTAACCAGCCCTGTAGTCACCAGTCTCATCAGTCATCTGCTTCTATAGGCACAGATAGCCTGAGGTCACACAAACAAGTATCCGAGTGATTTGTCATAAGTAGTTTTGCCCAGCTTTGAGAAAAGATGAAGAAATTGGTGTAGCTATGTTTGCAAGCTTCATGTGCCCAGTCTTATTTGTGTGATGCTGTTGCCTGAACCTGAGTGTAATTTTACTCAATGCTGAAATTTTTACTTGTGCTTTGTTCCTCTGCTTCACCATTTTACACAGCAAAGACCTGTGTTTTGGAAGCTGATGAGTAAAGGTCTCAAAAGGGATGACTGCAGCAACACATCTGACCGTGACCGTAAGCAGAAGAGCACCAGGCAGGTGCTAGAAATGCTGGGACCTCAACTCGAGTGTAAACCCAGACTTTCCCAATTTATGATTGAAACAAAATTTTGACAGATAATTCTCTGAAAAGAGGTGTTTTGGTTTGGTTTTGGTCCTTTTGTTCATTTGGTTGGTTGTTTATTTTCCTCTGGTAATTGCTACTACTGGCGGCTGTAAAGTGCTATTAATGTGTAAATATAATCACTCAGTCTGCATTCAGTTGCCTAAATATTTGCCATGTCCTAAGCTGGGCTCCAGCTATCACTCTGGAAAGTGCAGGTTGCCCTTATGCCCTGTGTCACCACTGCCAGCCCTGTGCAGATGCCTGGGAAAACCAAGGTTGCTTAGGTGGCACTAAATGCGAGTGGCTAGGTAATTGGATTTCTCCTTCTCTACCTTGCATCATCTGTGGAATGATAGGATTCGAAGCTTAGTAATATTTT